GCAGCTGATAAACTCACATTCAGGGACTTTTCTGCGTTTTTTTTTCAGCAGCCCCTGAACTCTCCCTAATGTTTTCCTATGTGTCCATGTACACTATGATGTTTACATGCAGTTGAGTTTACAGTCGTTTTTTTGAATGCACCAAAGTTGCGTTCAGAAGTAGATTTTATCAGCGTTTCAAACGCAAAATGCGTGTAAACACGGCTAACCGCGTTTATAAGCATTTGCGTTTAGAAGCGTTTTTTTAACTGTTCCGTATCCAAATGCTGTCCAGAGCCTTTTTTCAGCATCAGAAATACATGCAAAGCGTTTTCCATGTATTCAAATGGACCTAGTACGCCAGCGCAGTCAGTTCCAGGTTGTGCATGAAGGAAAAAATGGTAGAATGTGCTGTAATTATGCTCATGGTGGGATTCATAGTGAATACAACCAGAAAAGACAGGTAATCTCAACACATACTGCTCTCTCTGCTTCTGCTCTCTCTATTCCTCTCAAAATGTCTGAAATAGTTCATTTTTACTGTTTTTCAGTGCATTTTGGGCATCTTGGAAGGTCTCCTGATGTTCTCTTTAAAAAACGCTTCTAAACGCCAATGCACATATGCAAACGTTCCTAAACGGATGTTTTTTAACCTACGTTTTCCAGCAGTCAGTTTCCATTGTTCAGAAGTGTTTTCCAAACATCCCATGTACATGAAGCCTAAATGTGTGGATGGGGAAATGTGCTTTTTGTTTTTTTTTGTTGTTCAACCAGCAGGGTGAAAAAAATGACTAGTGTATTGGCTGCCTTAGGTAACAGTATGCTAAAAGAAGTTGCTGTCTGTGTGAATGCAGTATTGTTTCTCAGTCAGTAGAACTGATTTTGCTGTGTTCCTTATTGAATTAAGTGATCATGTTTGATCTGAACTACAAATACATGTTATACACTGCATCTGGTTTATTTTTTTCTAACGTTCACATGTGTGTATTAGTTTAGATGAGGTTTGCTAAATGTCATGCGTCATTGAGCAGGCGTTACTGCAGTGATGCAGTTTCACCTGACTTCTTCCACAGGGCTGTTCATTGGAGAATAAAAGGATCAAAGATAGTTGTGCAACTTTTTTTCCTCTCTCAATTTTTTAAGGTAAAAATGCTTTGTTAAAGCAGAGCTGTACCTCAGAAAAAAGTTTACAAGCAATAACACTTTTATTTCAGTCGAGACATGTGATATATATATTCTGCAATAAAAGCTTCTTACCTACCTGCTTGAAAACGTTTTTTTAGAATGTACACTATGCTGGGATAAAGTAACCTCGATTCACATGTGCAGGACATATGTCATCCAGAGCCAGCCAATTAAGATGGCCAAAGATGCCAAGCCTGAAAGATGTCAGCGAGGGAGCTTGTGGACATTGCATCGCTGGAGGGAAGGTGAGTATAAGTGACTGTGACTGCACAGCATGCCAGGGGGTGTGGGGGGGGGGGGGGAGAGGGGGTTCTATAAAAATTATATATTACTGCAAACTGAATTTCCACATAAATAACATATTAAACATTGACAGGAAATAACATATATACAGTATAGCAGACCCAGTAACTGTATTGCACCTTTGTTACAGGAAACAGGGAAAAGTATAATTTGGAACCTGAAGCAGTATTAAACCCAAAAGCAAACATTAATTATATCACAGTTTACCAATTATTAGATGTGATGGCTGCCTTAGTTTTCTTTCTTTTATTTTAATCTGGTGATCCTACCAGTAAGCCTGTTTATCAAAAGAACAAGCTGACTTCCAGATGTATCATTTTACAGAGATGAGACAAACCATTTACTGCTGACATGGCTGATGTAAAACCTTTATCCTAAAATTAAAAAAATACTACTGTAACTGATTATAAAGTGTGAGCTAGAGCTCAACTTCAATATGTTAGTGTATCTAAATCTGCTAGTACATCTAACACTTCTCTCCCCCCAAACTGATAGTGCTGCTGTCTGCTGTGCCCCCTGTGTGCACATTCATCCAGAGTAGAGGCATTCTAAGAGAGAAGGTGTGTTACTGTCCAGATCACCAGGTGATCAGGCCACCACATCTAATATTTGTTAAATTCCAATATATTACATTTTTGGTTCTGGGATTAATATCGCTTTGAAGCCCAACTGCAATAGTTGCCCTTCCCACTGTGCTGTGCCATTTAGAAAAGCACAGCCTCAACGTCATCACTGTGCTGTGCCATTTAGAAAAGCACAGCCTCAACGTCATCACTGTGCTGTGCCATTTAGAAAAGCACAGCCTCAACGTCATCACTGTGCTGTGCCATTTAGAAAAGCACAGCCTCAACGTCATCACTGTGCTGTGCCATTTAGAAAAGCACAGCCTCAACGTCATCACTGTGCTGTGCCATTTAGAAAAGCACAGCCTCAACGTCATCACTGTGCTGTGCCATTTAGAAAAGCACAGCCTCAACGTCATCACTGTGCTGTGCCATTTAGAAAAGCACAGCCTCAACGTCATCACTGTGCTGTGCCATTTAGAAAAGCACAGCCTCAACGTCATCACTGTGTTGTGCCATTTAGAAAAGCACAGCCTCAACGTCATCACTGTGCTGTGCCATTTAGAAAAGCACAGCCTCAACGTCATCACTGTGCTGTGCCATTTAGAAAACCACAGCCTCAGCGTCATCACTGTGCTGTGCCATTTAGAAAACCACAGCCTCAACGTCATCACTGTGCTGTGCCATTTAGAAAACCACAGCCTCAGCGTTATCCCTGTGCTGTGCTTTGCAGAGGGAGGAAGCTCCAAACAATACTGGAATTGTTGTCTGCTAGACATTATCGTTGTTGCAATGCATCAGGGAGCCTGAAGTGTGGCTCCCACTGTACTTGGTAGCACCAGCTTACTGGGGCTTAATAACTATGTATGTAAAAAAAAAAAAATATTTTATGAATGACAAATATTAAAAGATTTTTGAAAAAGTAAAAATGCTGCTTGGAGTTGGGTTTTAACAAGTGAAATTTTTACATGTAATCTATAAAGTGAGGCACGACATATGTATCAATGTATAAGCCACAAACATTGAGACACTTTTTTCTTATGTGATTTAGCTTAGGCCAGGCTTTTAGATACGTAATCTATAGACAGATGAGAGACAAAGAAACAACAGTTTTTGGTAATGATTATGGTTGCCATAGAGAATACTGTTCAAACTTTCATTCAGACATGCTAATGAATTTATTTATAGTTGATGAGAGAGAAATAGAGTTCTTGTAATATTGGAAGCTAGACAGAATTCCGTAGCAGCTAATATTCTTATTTTCCCATTGGATTAGAGCTCTAGGCTAGCAGCTAACACTTTAAATACATATCCGTTTACTGTTTACCAGCTAAAAGATTTTGTAATTCTGTACTGCTGGTCCAGGGCTTGACAAATTTCCTTTGAATCTAAGAGCCAGCTAAAAAAGTTAGGAGACATATTTTTCTTTGATTGGAAAGGATTTGTATTCGGCAACAGAGATGGCCAACCGTTGATCTCTAAACGGGGGCGCTGATAAAAGGGGAGTATGATATAATGAGGGGGGATCTCTAAGGGGGGTGCTAATATAAAGGGACTCTGATCTAATGGGGGGGTCTTTAAGGGGGTGCTAATAAAAAGGTCTCTGATCTAATGGGAGATCTCTAAGGCAGTGATGATAATATATGGGGACTCTGATTAAATAGGGGAAGAGGTTCTGATCAGCAGCAGTCAGCACCCCCCCTTAGAGACCTCCATTAGATCAGAAAGCTCCCCCACCCCCCTTATATTAATGGCCCTACCCAAAGATTACCTGGTCGGTGGGATTCGGGAGCAGCTGCAAGCCAGTAAGTGTCTGAAGCTGGGAGCCGGAGTTGAGGGGTGGAGCTGGGAGGTGGAGCTTCTGTGGCTCTAGGCCTATTTTCCTCCCATCCAGTGTTTGCAGGGTGCAAAGGAGATCACTGAGGCGGGAAGGGGGGGGGGGGGGCAGCAGGGGAGAAGGCAGAGACCACAGGAAGGCAGGCGCCTGGGGTGTCTCCTCTCACCTGGGGAGTAGAGTTCAGCCAGCTCCCAGGCTCACTGTCAAGCTCCTCCATGTACCGTCCTCTCCATCTTTCCAGCCAACCAATCAGAGAAACTGCCATTCCCAGCTCCCCTCCCATTTGGGGGAGGGTCAAAAGGGGGTGGGAAGCTCCAGCCAATGGAGGGGGGGAGGCTGACAGGCTACCCAATCATCATTCCTGCACACAAGGTAAGCATGTGATATGTGGTCCATGGAGGAGAGAAGGTGAGGAGCTCAGTGGGTGGCTGCCCGAAGAGTTGAATAGAGTCAACGGTGGATGGGCTGGTAGGAGCCTGGGTACCAAGATGGGATTTCTGGTTGCTATGGTGACCTGGCATCCATGATTCATTGAGCTCTGTGCTAGTCTTGTTATATATACACCTCTTCTGCACATACTCCTGCTACCATGTTCAACTATGTAGCATCCAACCTGCTTGATGGGCAGTGAATTGGCATCATCATCTCAGTGATCCAAGAAGACATAAAACTGAGCAAATACAATAATCTTCTTTACTGTGCAGTGTGGCAGAGTTGTGTAAATTGAAAAGACTGGCTGAACAGTCCATTGGCAGGTACAATATTAAAATATGTGTTTAGATTGTGAATGTAGAATTTTGACTTCCATTTTAGTGTGGCTACTGCAAAAGACAAACTGAGTGGGGTCGATTTACTAAAAATTGAGAGTGCAAAATCTGGTGGAGCTCTGCCTAGTCAGCTTTCAAGTTTTTTGTTTTGTTTTTTTCAATGGTTGATAGAACAAACTGAAGTTAGAGGTTGATTGGTTACCATGCACAGCTGTACCAGGTTTTGCACTCTCCAGTTTTAGTAAATCAACCCCAGAGTGTTTCTGCATAATGGTTGAAATATGAGAAATGATGCCAGAAATGCCAAAAAATTGCTTTTCGGATTACATAAACTGTAATTATATTTATAAGCTGTATGTATATTTACAGATCTTTCAAGTTTTCAAGCTATTCGTTCTTTGGTGGCACCTGACATTGATATATACTTAATAAGAATGGTGATTACACTACTTGAAAAAGAGGGGAGTGGTGAAAGTGAAAAAAAGCCAGAGTCCTCAATCAACAAACCTTTACAAATTCTTGTTGTACAGCCTGGGAAGCCATCACCGCCAAAGACATTTTTGGGTAACAGCTCCTGGATTGAAAAGGTTAGTAAAATTCATTCCTAATCTTGGTTTTTACTTGCAGTGATTATTTACCCTTAAACTCAGATGCAATTTGTGATGTCTGTATTATAATACAAATTGGTAAAATTCAAGCACAATATGTATCTAAAGTCTTTATGATGTCTGTCATGCCATCCAAGAAAAAATATCCATAAAAGATCTTGTGTTCTACTCCATGTTTGGTACCTTATCTACTGTACCATAGTGGGATATTCTGGATAGATGCCTTCTTAATACTGGAAATCCACAAGAATTACATCATAAAGACAATTTGGGACACCCTGGCAGTTCTCATTTTGTCATGAGCTGCTGGTAATTAATAAAAAGATACGTGGCCCTTTGACAATTTTAGGTGATTTAGATGTTATAGTATTATCACTTTTACTGTTTCAGAAACCAGTGAAGGAAAGCACAACTGATGTCCAGAAACCTCCCACTAAACTGGAGCTGCCTAAAACTTCTTCAGTAGCCCCTATCAAGCTTGCATCATGGAATCAACCTGGGGAAGATGAAGAAACTGAAGAACTGTTTTCAGAATCACAGTTACAGGTAAAACTATTAACTTGTCATGCTAAAAAAAATAACAACTTGTTTTTCAACATCTTCACAGCATACTTTGAAAAGATAAACTGGTTAAACGCATCGGATAGCATGTCTTTGGTGAACAGTTTGTTGATGGATTTGCTTTAACTTCGTGCAATGAGAATCTTTGCAGCGCTGTAAGCCGGGTTCATGCTCTTTTCCATCTGGTTTCCTTTAGGCCCCCTATGGACATGATGTTGCAGGTTAACTTGCATTAAAGCGATATTAAAGCAAAAAACAAAAATGTAATATATTGCAGTTTACCAATCCTCAAATGTGGTGGCTACATTCATTTTTTTTTTCTAGGCTTTTTACTTTACCTGACGATGACATTTCCTGTTCCAGGGTGTCTACATTCTAGTTGAAGTATTAAAGAAGAAACCTTTTGGGCAGCAGCATTGTCAGTCTGGGTAGAGGGTAGTGTTAGACTAGCAGATTTAGAGCATTGTAAGCACCCTTGTCACTGTTTATTTTATTTCAAGTACTTATATGGCACTGTCAATTTACACAGTGCTTTACACATATATAGTTCATTCACATCAGTCCCTAACCCTCAAGGAGTTTACAACCTAAGGACCCTAACTCGCATTCTTACATACACATACTAGGGCCAATTTAGAAGCCAATTAACCTACCAGAATGTCTTTGGAGTGTGGGAGGAAACCAGAGTGCTTCGAAGAAATCCACGCAGACACAAGGAAAACATGCAGATTCCAGGCAGGTAGTGCTGTAGTTGTGATTCGAACCAACAACCCAAGAGCTGCCAGGCAGAAGTGAAAACCACTTAGCCACTGTGCTGATGGTTTGTCTCAACCCTGTAACTGCTACTTTGTGTAGACAGCTTTGGCAGACCTTTTGGTTGGATCGCCTTGTAAAAATAAAAGAAAAAGAAAACTAGTGAAGCCACAACATTTAAGAATTGGTGAGCTACACTTTAATACATTTTTGTTTTGTTTTATGCCCCTTTAATGAAGCCCATTCAAATGAACCACAGGATCAAAAATCAGACCACATGAACTTTAATGGCATCCCAGTCTTAGTCCATAGGGTTCAATATTGAGTTGGCCCACCCTTTACAGCTATAACAGCTTCAACTCTTCTGGGAAGGCTGCCCACAAGGTTTAGGAGTGTGTCTATGGGAATGTTTGACCATTCTTTCAGAAGCACATTTGTGAGGTCAGGCACTGATGTCAGACGAGAAGGACTGGCTTGCAGTCTCTGCTCTAATTCATCCCAAAGGTGTTCTATCAGGTTGAGGTCAGGACTCTGCAGGCCAGTCAAGTTCCTCCACCCGAAACTCGCTCATCCATGTCTTTATGGACCTTGCTTTGTGCACTGGTGTGCAGTCATGTTGGAACAGGAAGGGGCCATCCCTAAACTGTTCCCACAAAGTTGGGAGCATGAAATTGTCCAAAATGTGCTGACATCCTAAGAGTTCCCTTCACTGGAACTAAGGGGCCAAGCCCAACCCCTAAAAAAAAAAACCCCACACCATAATCCCCCCTCCACCAAACTTTACACTTTGGCACAATACAGTCAGGCAAGTACCGTTCTCTTGGCAACTGCAAAACCAAGACGTGTCCATCGAATTGCGAGACAGAGAAGCTTGCTTTGTCACTCCAGAGAATACGTCTCCACTGCTCTAGAGTCCAGTGGTGGCATGCTTTACATCACTGCATCTGGTGCTTTGCATTGCACTTGGTGATGTAAGGCTTGGATGCAGCTGCTCGGTCATAGAAACCCATTCCATGAAACTCTTTGTGCACTGTTGTGCTAATCTGAAGGCCACATGAAGTTTGGAGGTCTTTAGCTATTGACTTTGCAGACAGTTGGCGACTTCTGCACACTGTGCGCTTCAGTGACCCCCACTCATTTTTATACCAGGTCATTTTACATGGTCTACCACTTCGACCATATTTAGTAGCAAGGAAATTGCATGGATGTACTTATTGCACAGGTGTTTACTTATTGTACCATGCTTGAATTCACTGAGCTCCTGAGAGCGACCCATGCTTTAACAAATGTTTGTAGAAACAGTCTGCATTCCTAGCTGCTTGATGTTATACATCTGTGGCCATGGAGGTGATTGGAACACCTGAATCCAATAATTTGCAAGGGCGTCACAATACTTATAGCAATATAGTGTGTGTGTGTGTGTATGTATATATATATACTGTGTGTGTGTGTGTTTATATGTATGTATATATATATATATATATATATATATATATATATATATTTTTTTTATTCCAGTGGTTGCCACTGCACACAAATCGGAGATAAAAAAAAATGGGCCTGGGTGCACAGCAGTCTGTAGTACATGTAGTCCAAAAGAGAGAGCAGCAATAACGATTATTGAAAGGTGAACACACAGTGAAGATTTTATTTTGACGTTTCCTGCCTCGTCGAAATAAAATCTTCACTGTGTTTTCACCTCTCAAGACCTGAGTGGCGCTCTCTCTTTTGGATTTTATGCGTACATACAGTGCTCAGCATAAATGAGTAAAGCTCTTTTGAAAATTAAGACTTTTATCAATATCTCAATGAACACAAGAACAAAATGTTGACAAAACTGAGTTTTATAGAACATTTGTTTAGCTCATTACATCAAAGTAAGGTTAATAATAGTAAGGTTAATAATATAACTTAGATTACAAAATCTTCAGTTTTATTCAAATTAGTTGATGCAAAAATGAATACACCCCACAACAAAAACTACTCCATCTAGTATTTTGTATGACTTCCATGATTTGTAAGAACAGCATCAAGTCTAGGCATGGAATGAACAAGTTGGCGACATATTGCAACATGTATCTTTTTTTCCATTCTTCAAGAATTTTAGAGCCTGGATGCTGGATGGAGATGCTGGATGAGTGATGCTCAACTTGTCTCTTCAGAACTCCCCATAGGTGTTTCGATTGGGTTCAGATCAGGAGACATACATGGTCACTGAATTACTTTCATGTTGGGAAAGTGCACGACGACCAAGGGCACAGAGTGATGGTAGCATCTTCTCTTTCAATATAGAGCAGTACATCTGTGAATTCATGATACCATCAATGAAGTGCAGCTCCCTGACACCATCAGCAGTCATGCAGCAGGTGGATGTGAGCGCACAAAATAAATAAAAGCAGCTAAGCACAAGGTAACCAAATAAAACCTTAGAATAGACAGTATAAATAATGATGTGCGGCGCTAAAAAATCGAAAAGATATATACAAAGGACTAGCGTGTAAATAAAGTTCAAAATTCAAAAATAGTAATATATATTAGGACATATAAAAGTTCAGATCCGGCGGGGATGGCTGGTTGTCGCAAGTTATTAGGGAACCTAATCCCAGGACCCATCCACCCATAGAGAAATTGCATAGGATTCCTGTTTCACCCCATGATGACCGTTTGGTGACATCAGGATATATTACTAATACGCGCATTATCTTGCGCATTCTGGTGAGTGCGCATTGCTTATACACTTGTATGCACATCCACCGGTTCCAGGAAGTCACAAGATTAACGATCACCATAGTCACCTGATGAACGTTTATATGTCCTAATATATATAACTATTTTTGAATTTCGAACTTTATTTATACGCTAGTCCTTTGTATATACCCTTTCAATTTTTTTAGCGCTGCACATCATCATTTATTATATTTATATATATATATATATAATATATATATATATATATATATATAATATAATATATATATATATATATATATATGGGCAGCACAGTTGCTAAATGGTTAGCACTTCCGCCTGGCAGTACTAGGGTCACTGGTTCAAATCCCGACCACGGCACCACCTGCCTGGAGTTTGCATGTTCTCCCTGTGCCTGTGTGGGTTTCCTCCGTGTACTCCAGTTTCCTCCCACACTCCAAAGATATGCTGGTAGGTTAATAGGATCCTGTCTAAATTGTACGCCCCTTGAGGGTTAGGGACTGATGTGAATGCATAAAACATATGTAAAGCGTTGCGTAAATTGACGGTGCTATATAAGTACCTGAAATAAGTAAATAAATATATAATTTCTTTGGGTGGGGGCATAGTACACCTACTTAGGTGATTTTTTTAAAGTGGGAGAGGGCTAGAGGATTTTGGGCATACCTTGCATTTTCCTGCAAGGCTTTTCATAAGGTTTTTTTTTTTTTTTTTTTTTGTTTTTTTTTTTTTTGTGATATTTAGTAGCACAAATATAATCCTGCAGCTCCCCAGCAGTTCTCCAACGCAGTGAATCTTTTGATTCACACTGAGGAATATAATTAGTTGTTGGCATGTTAATAGAATAAACCTGGTCATACACTGAACGTAATTTCAGTCCGTGTGTGGCAATCCCCATTCGACTTATGTCAAAGGGACATGTTGTAAAATCTCCCTTGACCAGTGGCTGCAGCCACTGATCAGTGTATCCTGACAGTAGTGGGTTCTGCTGCCTAAATGCAATATTCCATTGTGCGGGATTCCGTTGTGGTTTTTTTTTTTTTTCCTCAAGCAGAGATCCAAATTGCATTTTTGTACGATAACACAGATCCTTCACATCACAGCCCTCTTCTCTCTCTAGGTTCACATCTGTGTGGCTGGGGAACATGTGCAAAATCACATGCGTTTCCGACCCTCAGTGAAAAGCACTGCACTTTAGCAGATGTGTTGGGGTGCTATTAATTCTTAATGGCATTACAGTCTCCTCATCACCACTGTTACAGTCAGTCCCCAATTACTGTCCCCAGCACCCCCTATTACTGTCCTCCGCCCCCCCCCCCCCCCCCCCCCCCCCACCCATTATAGTCATCAGCACCCTCCCCCTCCCATTACTTTCCCCAAAACCCCCTCCGTACACTCCTCAGATTCCCCCCCCCCCCCCCCCCCCCCATTACAGTCCTCAGACCCCTCCCCCCCCCAATTACTGTCCTTTTAGACCTCCAATAATGTCCCCAGCAACCCATTTACAGTCCCCAGCACACCGTTCCATTATTGTCCCCATCACCCCCCATTGCTGTCCCCATCACCCCCCCATTACTGTCCTCAGTACCCCCATCCCAGTACTGTCCTCAGTACCCCCCATCCCAGTACTGTCCTCGGGACCCCCCACACACACACTACTGTTCTCAGCACTCCCCCATTATTGTCCTCGGCACCCCCCATTTACTTTACTCAGATCCCCCCTCCCAATTACTGTCCTTAGTTCCTCCCTTACTGTTCTCAGAACCCCATTACTGTCATCCTCAACACCCCACCTTACTTTCCTCAACCCCCCCCCCCCCCCCCCCCCCCCCCATTACTGTTCTCGGCTCCCCCCCTCGCCAGTTAATGTCCTCCAGGAAGGCGGGAGGCACAGTTGCTCTAGACAGAGGGCAGAAGCTGCAAGCTGGTGATTGGTTGCTAGGACCACCCTGAATCCCACGGATAAACTGCTTAACTCTGGCAGCCCCTGCCCTCCATCCCACTGTCGACACTGTTTTCAGACCCCCCATTACTGTCCCCAGCATCCCCCCCCCCCCCCCCATTATTGTTTTTGACACTCTCCCCCCCATTACTATCTTCACACCCACCCCCCCCTCCCCATTTCTGTTCTCAGCAACCCGCATTACTGTTTTCAGCACCCCCCATTACTGTCCTCAGATCCCCCCATACTGTTCTCACACCCCCTTTTACTGTCCTCAGCACCCCCCCCCCCATTACTGTCCTCAGCACCCCCCCCCCCCCCCACACACACACACACTACTGTCCTCGGCACTGCCCCCCATTACTGTCCTCGGCACACACACCCCCCCCCCCCCCCCCCTTACTGTCCTCAGTTACCTCCTTACTGTTCTCAGACCCCCATTACCATTACTGTCCTCAGCACCCCACATTACTTTCCTCCTCACAATCCCCCCCCCCCCCAATTACTGTCCACCAGGAAGGCAGGAGACACAGCTGCTCTGGACAGAGGGCAGGTGATTGGTTGCTAGGACCACCCTGAGTCCTACCAATCACCTGCTTGTTAACTTTGGCAGCCGCTGCCCTCCATCCCACTGTCAACACTGTTCTCAGATCTCCCATTACTGTCGTCAGCACCCCCCATATTACTGTCCTCATATCCCCCCCTTACTGTTCTCACACCCCTATTACTGTCCTCGGCCTCAGCACACCCCCATTACTGTCCTCGGCACACCCCCCCCATTACTGTCCTCGGCATCCCCCTCCAATACTGTCCTCAGACCCCCCATTACTGTCCTCGGCACACCCCTATTACTGTCCTCAGCACACCCCCATTACTGTCCTCAGCACAACCCCCCCCCCCCCCCTTATTACTGTCCTCAGCAACCCCCATTACTGTCATCAGCACATACATCCCACTACTGTTCTCAGACCCCTGTTACTGTCAGCACCCCCCATTACTTTCCTCACCCCCCCCCCCCCAATTACTGTCCTCCAGGAAGGCGGGAGGACAGTTGCTCTGGACAGAGGGCAGATGATTGGTAGGATTCAGGGTGGTCCTAACAACCAATCGCCTGCTTGTTAACTTTCACAGCCCCTGCCCTCTATCCCGCTGTCTCAGACCCCCCATTACTGTCTTCAGCACCCCCCCATTATTGTCCTTGGCACCCCCATCACTGTATTCAGACCCTCCCCCCCATTTCTGTCCTCAGATCCCCCCTTACTGTTCTCACAGTTCTCACACCCCTATTACTGTCCTCAGCACACCCCCATTACTGTCCTCAGGCTCCCCATTACTGTCCTCAGCACACGCCCCCCACTACTGTCCTCAGCAACCCCCATTACTGTCTTCAGCACACCCCACTGCTATCCTCAACACCCCCCCTTACTGTTCTTGGACCCCCCTTACTGTCAGCACCCCACATTACTTTCCTCATACCTTTCCCCATTACTGTCCTCGGCTCCCCCCATTACCATCGTCAACCCCCCCCCCATTACCATCGTCAGCCCCCCCCCCCATTACCATCGTCAGCCCCCCCCCCCATTACAGTCCTCAGATCCCACCCCATTTACACTCCTGAGATCCCACCCCCTTTACACTCCTGAGACCTCCCCCTTTACACTCCTGAGACCTCCCCCTTCATTTCAGCCCTCAGACCCCCCATTATAGTCCTTGGAAGAGACCACACACAGGAAGGCGGGGGAGGCACAGCTGCTCTGGACAGAGGGCAGGAGCTGCAAGCTGGTGATTGGTCGCTTGGACCACCCTGGATTCTACCAATCAACTGCTTGTTAACTCTGGCAGCCCCCTCCATCCCGCTGTCGACACCGATGAGAATAACAGCGGCGGCAGCGATAGCTCCTAAATGGCGTGACCATGGTGATCCGGATGGGACATTGATTCGGTCTAGATTCGGACCACGGTCCACCATTTAGTAATGCCTGCTGTACAGTTTATGGCCAGCTATAGAGGTGAGACTACTAAAAACAAAAGACCACATAATGATGCTGGACTAGCGAAATGTCATTCCTCTGTTTATTTTTTTTTATCTTTTCCTGGTTGTAATATCTGTTGGGAACCTAGGGACAGTGGCCTAGGGGAGGGATCAGGAAAGCATGATGTTCCCAATCAGCAATACTACATGGTCTGTAAAAGTAATGAGATATGAGGGTGCATCAGTAGTTGCATTGATGAAATACACAGTTTCTTTTGTTCACAGTGGACTTTCTCTGCTGTCCTGCAGGTCTGTTGGTAGATGAAGATGTGAGTAACTTCCCAAACAAAGCTTTGGATTTCACAGCTGATAAATACATTTCATATTATAACTGGGCATCATAAATTTGACTTTATCGGGATGGGTACAGTTTTTTGTTTTAACATATAGTCAGAGCTGCCTCCACTAATAGTCATTTGCATTAAAGAATGATTTCAGGCATTGGTGTGTTATATATGGTTACGTTTGTCCAGCTTGGATCAATGTAACTAACTATAGGAGTTGGCTGATGCCACTGAAAGCTGGAAATCACTGAATTAGGCAAGTGATTTTCACTTGCTTCCAGGTCCCATGCTAAACTGTTTTTATCTTGCGTTGTGAATACAGGAGGTCAGCCATGTGGCACAAGTACCATTCAGAGAATGCTTTGCATCTTTTAAATGAATGCAAAGCATTCTCTGATTGGATGAGGTGGAGTGCCAGGTGGTCACGTCTGTAAAAGATTTCCAGCTACCAGAGTGATCGGCCAGGTATGGTATCTACAGTACATAGTTACATTGGTCCAAGCTGGAATTGTTTGTTAAACTGAACACTACACGCAATCTAGAATTTGAAAAACAATCGCTATTTTCTTTAATATTGCCTTATAACAGTACAATTCTTTTTTGTAGCAAGAGCAAAAGTATAAATAGTTACAAAATATTGTATGTGTAATTTGCTGCTCTTTACCAGTCAGACTGTTTTTGTAGTTGTTTCTGATAACAAATAATATAATATTGTGCTTCATAATTCTTGTTCTTTTTATATTTCAGACTTCAAAAAGAAAACTGCCTGAATGGTTTAGTGCTCCCAAACAACTTGCCACACCATCTAATGTCAAAAAAGCCAAAACTGGAACAAAGAAAGGCCTTTTTGGTTGAAATAGTTATATAAAAGCTGTCCGCATTTTTAGCAGGTGTACAGTATAAACATGCTACAAAGTAGTAACATTACACCACAAATATAAACTACGAAATATTTTCACTTGGTTCCATGTATATAATTAAAGTTCTGATATTTAATGTTACAGCGTGGCTCTCTAATCGTATACTTAACAGAGACTGTTACCCTTTGGGCTCAAATGAAAAAATGTGACCAAATATCTTTGGGCTGCCTAGAGAAGAGACATAAATAAAAACATGATCTGTTCAGATTCTGTTAGCACGGAGGACTACATTTCATTGAGACTTTCCCAGGGCTTCTTATATGGTTAGGCTGTGAACATGCTACAGACAATTTTATATTCTACATTTGGAAAATTGTTATATTTAGTTTTTGTTTACATTTTTGTGAATTAATGGTATCCTGGGTTGATAAATACCCTCTGATTTACAATTACAATTTGACGTAACCCTGAATTACACTACCGGTATTAGCGCTTTTCCATTATAGTATAGCTATATTGCTCTCTACTGGTTCTCTGAGCTACTGCACTTTTCACATCTTCATTGCACTTTCAACTGTCTGATTAATTGTCACCATAAGCATCACCTAGCTAAGGACCTAATGCTTAAAATTACCAAAATTTGTCTTTTTTGTTGTTTCAGCATGGATGAAGCTGCCGCTTTATTGATGTTTACTTGCAAATTAAACATGCTTCTTCCTTTCCTACTGATGGTTAATAATAAATATTGTGCCTTTTACCATGTGTGATCCATTTCAACCCAACTACCCTGAGCAAACCTTTTTAAATCCTGTTAAATACCTGAATGAAACCAATGTAGCAATAGTGGGGGAGATTTATTAAAACTGGTGCATTCAAAATCTGGTGCAGCAGTACATAGTAGCCAATCTGCTTTCTACGCAGAGTTGCAGCAAATTTTTTAAATCTTCCGTTTTCGTAAGTAACCCCCAGTGTGCCTGAATGACTTCTGTAATTACTTAGCCAGACTAACCTGTTTGTTTCTCCTCCATGTTTAAAAAGAAGATATATGTTTTAGTATATTGTATGTCATGGTGGAAAAACTCAAAACTGATGGCAGTAACACCAAACCCAAGCAGAGATATCATAAACTATAAACAGAGAAGAGCAACTTGCTCTGAAAAATGCAAATGTACCTGCCAGACATGTTTAAGAAAGCCTCATTTTGTTGACACTTTTACCTTATGCCATAAGGTGCTATTTCTAGCAAAATCTGTTGTATACTGTTAACTAGTGTATACAGTAATAAAATCAGACTTTTTTTTCCTGTTGTTCATATTAAAGGTATCATATGGTCATTTTATAAGTGCAGTCACTGAGATGTTCATTTATGTGTACTTGCACACCTTCTACATGTCTTGGAATCCCAGACTCATGTAGGAATCTTGTTACACAAATCTTAGCTAACTGCTGTGGTCATGTGGTTTAGCCCAGTCCCCTCTCATTTTCCATGTCTTCCTACTGCCCTTTGTACTTATTGACTAATAGGTGTGCTGGAGGTGGACTATAGGAGCGTAGGATAAAAAGTCTTGGTTTTGAGGCTTCTATGATTATGTGCAAGGTATGTAAGCAACCATCTAGGCACCTCTACCTGCTTTTCTTCACTACTATCCATACAGCAATTTTGTAACCGGGTCACTTTATTGTGTGTGTGTGTATATATTTATAGTTTATGGTTTTATATGGATATGTACTACTTCCTGCTGAAAACTGTTTTAAAGGAAAGTAAGTATAGGAATTAATGATAAATATGTTAGCAGTCATAGTAGAATAGTTTTGTGTTAGCCATTGATTACTTCAGAAAGTTTGACGTTTAAAGGATACCCTTTATTGGCTAACTTAAGCTGTTAAAGATGCAAGAATTCAGGGTGCCATCTTCAGACTTTATACTGCAAATGGTAGTGACACCCACATATTTATACACAGGGCTACAAGTAGGAGCAACGAAAATATTTTTTTATTTATTGCTCCTCTTAGTAACTCTGCATTATCCCAAAAGTTTGCATCTTTAATAACTTAAAGCAGAACTATAGACAGAACTTTTTTTCCACTTTGGAGGAGTTCTAACCCCTGTTAGATTTTTTTTTTTTTTTGCCATCTGTGTCCATTTAGGGAGATTACCTTAACTTCCTGTCCCACAACCAAAACAGAAAGCAAGAGGAAATCCCTGCAAATTAAGGGAATTCCTTGGGGTTCCCCAGGTAACTATAACTAGTGTCCCCATTGGAAGATTCCCCCTCTATTACTTTTCTAGAGACAACCCAAAATTTGGGATTTTCTTTCAATTTCAACGATAATGGTAAACAGGACAAATAGAAAGCGTGAATTACCCTGAATTGGGGGACATAGACCGCAATATAAGCCTAACGGGTTCTAATTCCTATCCACTCTATCCAAAACTAAAAACAGGTTTGCCTTTAGTTCTACTTTGTTAGTCTATAATAAAGAGTATCACTTAATCGCCAAACTTTCTGATAATCATGTTTATGCCATTGTTTTCACTGGGTTTGTATGTTCTTTCCAATACTCATTTGCACGTTGCTGACCACTAGATAAACCTACAGTAGCACAGAGTGTATTCAGGACTTCCAGCAGAGACCTAAAAGTCATGTTTGCTTAAAAAAATTTAGACAAGAAATTTAACTGCAGCCACCCAAGTTTCAGTTCTTGTTTTATGACCAGTAATGGAAAAATAACAGCATAAATATAATTGCTATGAGCAACCACGTGGATTTTCTCAATTTTGTTATGCATTGGCTCCAGTGATTTTTATGGAGAAATATTTACAAACAACCATTACCTAAAACGATATAAAAAAGAATGGACTTCCTTTTGTAATGTGGAGTGAGAGGATGTGAACAGAGCCTCACACTCTAGTGTATATTTTTGTATTGTATTCTGGAAAAATCTATAAATACTATTTGTTGAACAATTAAACACTTTTTTCAATGTGTAAATAGATTATGTTCTTTATTTATAATAAAATTTAATTCCTAAATGCTATTGCTCATTTCTTTACAAGCAACAGGATAATTAGAGTTGGGAAGATAAGGTGTATGTATGTGTTTGTGTATATATTATTATTATTATACAGGATTTATATAGCGCCAATGGTTTGCTCAGCGCTTTACATTATAGTGGGAGACAATACAGTAACAATACAGTTTGACACGAGGGATTTGAGGGCCCTGCTCCTTGGAGCTTACAATCTAGGAGGGCGGGGTGAATGGTACAGTAGGTAGTCACTGTGGGGGATCGAGTGGTTGGAAGAGTAGGGGATTCCAGAATTAGCAGAGGGCAGGATAGGCTTCCCTAAGAGAAAGGTTTTCAGTGATCGCCAAAAGGCAAGTAGAGTAGGCGATAATCTGATAGATTGGGGTAGGGAGTTCCAGAGGATGGGTGACGCCCTGGAGAAGTCTTGGAGACGAGCATGGGAGGAGGAGATGAGGGAGCTAGAGAGTAAGAGGTCTTGTGAAGAGCGGAGTGTACGGTTTGGGTGATATTTAGAAGATAAGATCGGTTATGTAAGTTGGGGCAGTGTTGTGGATGGCTTTATATGTCATTGTCAGAGTTTTGAATTTTATCCGTTAAGCGACTGGGAGCCAATGGAGGGATTGGCAGAGAGGGGAGGCGGATATGGAACAGTTAGTGAGGTGGATGAGTCTGGCAGCAACGTTCATGATAGACTGGAGGGGGGATAGTCTACGATGAGGTAGGCCAATGAGGAGGGAGTTACAATAGTCGAGGCGTGATATGATAAGGGAGTGAATAAGTTGCTTAGTGGTTTCCGGGGTTAGGCACGGTTGTATCTTGGAGATGTTGCGGAGGTGAAGTCTACATGATTTTGTCAGCGATTGGATCTGGGGCTGGAAGGACAGATGGGAGTGTAGGATTACACCTAGTACCCAGGCGTGAGGGGATGGACTGAGGATGGTGTTAGCGATATTTATGGTGAAGTCAGTGGGGGTGGCGCGGGCAGGGGGTAATACTAGGAGCTCAGTTTTGGAGAGGTTGAGTTTGAGGAAGTGGAGTGACATCCAAGCCGATATGTCGCTTAGTAGGCTAGCGATGCGGGTGGAAACTGAAGGGGTGAGGTGAGGGGTAGACACATAGATATGCGTGTCATCAGCATAGAGATGGTAGTTGAAGCCGTGGGAGTTTATCAAGTGACCAAGGGAGGAGGTGTAGATGGAGAAGAGAAGGGGTCCAAGGACAGAACCTTGGGGGACCCCTACAGAGAGAGGGAGGGAGTGAGGAGGAGGTGGCAGCGTTATAGGTAACACTGAAGGAGCGCTGCGACAGGAGAACCAGGAGAGAGCGGAGTCGCTGAGGCCGAAAGAGAGTGTAGTTTTTTGATGAGGAAGGGATGGTGAACCGTGTCAAAAGCCGCGGAGAGGTTGAGTAGTAGGAAGTATTGAATAGTGGCCGTTGGATTTTGCAGTTAGTAGGTCATTAGAGCGCTTTAGTAGGGAAGTTTCGGTGGAGTGTAGGGGGTCGAGAAGGTTGTTGTCGGTGAGGTGGGAACTCAGACAATTGTAGACTAAGCGTCTATGAGTTTAGAGGTAAATGGCAGCAGGGAGATGGGTCTAAGGTTGTTCAGGTTGGTGGGGTTTAGGGAGGGTTTCTTAAGTATGGGAGTGATGTGCGTGTGGTTTAGAGGGGAGGGGAATGCACCTGTAGAGAGGGAGAGATTGAAGATGTGAGTGAGGGAGCATAGGATGAAAGAGGAGGGTGACCGAAGGAGTTGAGGGGACAGGATCCAGGGGGCAGGTGGTGAGGCGGGCTTCTGAAGACCTTAAGGACCTCTTCGGTGGTAGCGAGGCCAAAGGAGGACAGTGTTGAGGGAGGTATGGTGTGAGGGATGCTAGGTGGGGGTGGGTGTCTGTGTGGTGGCGATGTCCCTACGAATTGCGTCCATCTTGTTTTGGAAGTGGTGTTCAATTACATGGGCAGTGATTG